CTGGGTCCTTGCTCTACCTGTCTACTCTTTGGGGTCTGAGTAACACAGGATGCTTCACAGCACTTGAGGAAAATAATATTTGAAAGTTTTGGAGACTTTGGTCTAGATACTTGACATGAATTTTGGATGAAGCAAAGAATAACTTGTGAATTTCATATTAATCCAATTCAGGTTTGCAGTGATTAAACTGCCAGAAATGTGGATATCCAGGAAATATAAAGAGTCCCACACTTGTGAGATTTCATGCACAAACCTCCGAGCAATCTGTTTGCAGTAGAAAAAGTAGAACAAAACAAGATTAACCTGCAGAGAATGGAGGAAGAAATCTAAGGAGGAAGGTCATTAAAGCAGAACAAAAACTGAGTGAAAAGATAGAAAGAATAAAAGAAGAGGAAAATAATCCAAATAATTCAAAGGTAGTGGCAAAAATACAGAGGAGATTAATTACTTGCTGAAAAGACATAGAACAGAAGGTGACTTGGTCTAGTGGTAGGTGTCCCTGACCATGGCAGGTGGTTTGGAATTAGATGATCTTTAAGGTCCCTTCCCAACCCAACCAATTCTAAGATTTTATGATTCTATGACCATGTAGGTTATCAATTCCATCCTCCATTAACTACAGAAAAAAACAGAATAGATGTTATGCTGAGAAACATCCATAATGTCTACTACAACTCCCTTTCAATTTAAGTCAAAAAACCTCACCCTAACTACACAATATTTAATACAAAAATAAAATAATGCCACAGTGACTATACAATGTCTAACCCAGACACTGAGATGGATGAAAGGTCTTAGGAAGATCTTAGACTCATACAATTGTATGCAAGTGGATACACTCAGATAGTTCTTGGGAGTAGATCGTGCTCCACACATCTATGGAGGGAGACATGATGAGCAACCAAACTGAACAGTCCTTGCTCTTCATCCCAGAGAAAAGTTCTTTCCTGATCCCACATCCAATCAATGCTTTTAATTCAAGATTCGTCAGGCAGGCAGTACCAGTAGGAGCACCAGCATAACCCACCTACTATCCTGTCTCTAGCTTTGGCCAATTTCTTGTTTGGCCAATTTAATGCTTCAAAGGAAGATCAATTTGTCCTCTCCCCACTCCTCATTCCTCCCACCCTTACATACACATCCAAGAGAATAAAGGACTAGGAAATGAGGGCACTTCCTTCTTTACCCCAATAGTGGTCAGTGGAAGCTCTGAAGCATGAAATTAATTAATTAAAGTATAAATGCAGTGTAATTCCTTCTATGAACTCAGCAAGCACCGCTTTTTAATTATTTAAATACCTTGCCCTTGCTATCCTGTATGGAAGGCCAGAACTTCTTTCCTTTGAAGTTCAGAAACCTTCTCCTAATTTCCAAGCTAATTTATACTCATCTAATCTTTCAGCACTGCCTTTTTTTTTTTTTTTCTCTAGCTGAAACAATTCTGCATCCTGGTATTTACAAAGAGGGTATTCATGAAGAAAAACTGTATTCCTCATCTTTCTTTTGCTAGTCTTACCAAGCCTCCCACGCATACTTTTTAAAAGGTTTGCTACTTCCCCTGATCATTCTTACAACTCTTTATGTCGTTTTCCTTTTTTCTGATCAGAAGTGACCCAAATAGGCCACAGTATTTTAAGTGAGGCCTCCTCAGTTTTTCATATCATGGTACTACTGAAACACTTCCCTTTCTGAAAATACCCTTGCCAGATACATCACATAATTGCATTAATCCTTTTCAAGGCAATGTCATATTCTAACAAAAAGGAAAAGAAAATAAAGTGGGCAGATGCTGCACAGAAAAATGGAAGCATCCTGAGGAACAGCAGATGATTCAAGAAGGAAGGAAAAAATGTCCTTCAAACATAAAGACATGATCAGCTGTGTAGAAAAGGTAATTCAAAGGAATAATGGACAGTCAGAAAGCTCAGGCAAGGCACATCTGTACAAAGTCACAGTGCACTAGTGTGGTATGACCTCTCAGTTTCATACCAGCCTCTGACAGGTTTTCCTAAAGACAGCATTTTGGCAAAAGCAAGGTTGACAGTGTCACAGCTGTAAGGGGGGGGAGGAAGACTGAGGGCAAGGAAAGCAGAGGAGGTGGATCCATCTCTCATGTCCCGAAAGGACCCTTGAACTGGAGCTCACAGCTCGTCTCTCCAGGGTGCAGCACTTTCTGCCTTGCAGTTTAAGAAATAGCACTCCCTGCGCGTATGTGTGCTTGTGTATGTGTGCATTTGAGACATACAAAACCTATGGTGCCTTTCTTGAGTCCTAAAATTTTTAAAGATAGCATTGTTAATAAAAATATTTCACTGTCCCATAGACATGCAAATGTTGTCCTTTAACCTGTGAAAGAATATAATAGAGGATCTCAAAATACTTTAAGAATATTAATGAAATGTTACAATAATTCCCAAGCAGTGTGTGCTTATATATTTTTCTGTGCACTCCAAAAGGAGATGCAGTAAGTCCTGCACTAAGTTGCCTCACAGTTTTCCATAGTGAAACATGATTATGCCTTTTTTTAGTTATTATTTTGAAGAAAAACCTCAACACCGAAATATTTTGTAAGAGCACTTTGAAACAGAAGACGAGGGGAGAGAAAGCTCTATGTTTTGCTGATATACCATAAAGCTGATGGGTTTTGCTCTGTCAAAAGATAAATAAATAAATAAAACCCAACAAATTTTTTCATCAGTGGTTTGTATAGCAGCACCTTTGTTTCTGCCAGTGCAAAAGGAAACTCAGCTCGCAGCAGACATGCGATATGTCAATTCATTTCCATTGTATTGGCAAGAAGCAACACACACAAGACAGATTTATCAAGCTATCTGATAGTCTAAGAGCCAAAAATTCTTCTTCCAGCTCCCTCCTCTCCTCTCTGCTTTCCTCCATACACATGCATGCACAAATAAAGGCGAATCTGCCACTTCTGCAAGCATAACATTGTAAACTTCTACAGTTTTATTGGGGGTGTTTATCATAAAGCATCCTTATCTGTTATCTGCTTATAGAGGAAGGTTTGGTATGTTATTTCTGAGTAATAGCCGAGAGCGAGTTAAATTGCATTAACCTTTAAAGCTGGCATTAATGGGTAACCGTGTCAGGAGACTATATTAGTCTACAATTTCCTTTCCCTATTCTTATTCTGGCTCTATGCTTGGAGTATTTTTTGCCACTAGTGTCAACCTTACATCACAGAGTTTGAGCTCTACACTCCATGCCTGTCCCCTGGAGAAGAAGCGCAGAACTGGCTTTTCCTCTATGCCAGCAGACAACAGGTTCTGTTCATCTTGCCCTTTTGCACAAACAGCAGGTTATTCAGTTTATTCTCCATGCCCATATTTTGCTCTTTGGTGTAGCAGTGCAGTACCTAAGAGACCAATCCTGTCTTACTGCTACAGAAGAGTGTTGGCAGTTTACTGAGAGTCAGAGAAAGTAGAACTGAAATTTTTATCTGTGGGGACTAAAACATATGAGCCATACTATGCTCTCTGTTACTCTGACAGGGGACACTCCTGCAAGGTATTACAAGTGTGCAAGAGCAATCTAGTAGCAGTGTTACATGAACAGAGACAGCTAGAGCTGCTCTAGATCTGTTATGGTGTAAACGGAACCTGGATGTGTCCCACCAGCTATCCCATACTCAAGTCTATGTATTAATTATACATGTAGAAGTCCTGTATTTAAGAACAATCAGAGTAATTTATCACTTTCAGAGAGCTGTAATTGCAAACACAACATAACCATTTGTCAGCTGTTTTAGATGGAAAGGAGTAGGCTGAGAGAAGGCAGCAGCCTCTATGAACACATTTGCATTGGGAAGTCTTCATTACAGATCTGGTTTGCAGACCCTCCTCCCCCTCATAGCTCTTTGAGACTTCTTCAGGAGCTGTTTATACAACAAATGCCTGCACCTGACTGCCCAAAGCTCTCCTGGGTTTTGTAAGGAGAGCGAGCAAGTCAACACTGTGTAAAGACAAAATCTCCACACAACCGAAGCCAGGTTTCTGAGAATATACTGCAGTGATCTTCAAAACTTTCACAAATTGGGAGCCATCAGATCAAAAGCCTAGCTTACAAAAGAGCTTTCTTTGACAAAGGGGAGGAAGTCCTGAGTGAATTTTAATACTTCTCAGAGAAATGCCTGGTAAGAGCAGACGTACATACTCCCTACAGACCTATATACGGGACAAGCTTTGGGAGATGCAGAAGGGGTGTATGTTTGTTGGCTACCATGGAGATGAGTGCAGTATAAGAGCCTAAATAGAAGAGAACATGTTTTGTTTTGAAGCCCTCTTACTGTAAAGGTGCATGTTAAATACAGAGCTGTTAGAGTTTCTTGCCAAAAGCTAACATTAATTGTTTAAGTTAACACTGCAATTGACATGCAACTAAAATAAATTCATTCTTTCTTTTCTGTGTTTCTCAAAGGGAAGCCCATTGCTTCCTGAGCTTCCCTGATAGCACACATGCTCTGCTGTCCTTTTAAACAGAGCAGCACAGCCTCTTCTCCATGGCTGATCAGCAAGGCTGGTGAACGCAGAATGGAGAGGAGCCCAGGCCTTTGGGTGCAACTAGCTTTGTTCTTTTCTCTTGAACCCTTTTTGTGACCAGGCTTGTGTTCACTGACATCTTTTTTGCCTTCTTCCAGAGAAGTCTGCCACAGTTCCAATGGGGGTGACCATGTTCCCTCCTTCAAGATGTAGGGATTTACTATCACAATTCAATTCAGCTTATAGTATCTGTAAGATGGGAGCTGCTATATTATTTGAGACTGGTCTGGGACTGTGAAGTTTTGTGCAGCTTCCTGGGTGGTGGAACATACCATCTACCCATCTGACCCATTTTGCCTAGAGCTATCAGTACATAGCCCCAAATGAGTCTCTCAAAAGACATTTCTATTTCAATTCAAACTACAAAGATTCACCCTATTAGCTCCAGAGGTGCCAGTTACAAGCCCCAGGGTGTCAGACAAAAATAGGAGCACAGGTACTTACACACAAGTAAACCTCTGTGGTAGGGGAACATCTCTGGGCCTGCAGCTCTATAGATGGTTTTGAGACAACGTGTTGCATTCAGAGTAGTAATAAGGATCTCTCTCCCCCTAAGGAAAATAAAGGAAAAAAAATTATGATCATTGGTAGAAATAGTGTTGATTTCTCTTAATGACAAATGAAATGAAAATTTGGGCAAGAATGATGGATGCTGCCAGTCAGAGTTCTTCTTGTTACAGCAGTCGATGTCTCTTTATGTACCCGTCTCATGAAAGTGTCAGAGATATTTAAAAAGAAAAAAAAAAAAGAAATATGCTAAAATTAAAATGGAGAAGAAAAAGTCATTTCACACATTTAATGGCATAATGAAGTCTTTTTAATGTAATTTTCTTTACTCTTCTGATTACATATTCACAAAGAGGATCTTCACTTCCATCTTTATTAGGCGCTGTGTTTGTCATCATTATGGGTTAAGTATTTTCATAAACATTTGATGAATATTAACCATTTAAAATAAAAAATAACAGTTTATTCTCACTGCAATGACTGCTGCACATGGAGATATTAATATTAGAGCAAGTCACATGAAATTACACACCCTGCAGCCCCATCCCTGCATGCAAGGAAGCAGTGCAGATGCTAGGAGATGAGAGACTCTCAACCTGCTGAACATGTAGAGGGGGTTGGAAAGCTGGATCCTAGCTAGACCCATAACCTGGGGTAACAGATCATTAAGACTACTGAATCTTCCTGTCAGGGACTTAGTTTTCCTAGGTCCTTTCTGTAGGTCACAAAATAACCAGCTTTTTCTTTGCTACTTTACCAACGTGACTGCAATCTTCCCTTCCCTGTGCTTTCAAAGAGCTTATGCAGCCCAGGCTTTAATATACCATCCTGGTTAGTTTATATGCTGTCTCTAGTTGGTGCAAATGCCCTAACAAACACATTTTTAAACATAATCTGTTCTCTACAGCAGGGGAATAGCTTCCTAAAACAAACAGTTCCAAAGCCAAGTGCCACAGAAAGAAGAGGAGGAATGAAAAAAGAAGGTCCACCAGAAAGAGGATGATTCAGACAAAATGTTTTAGGCCCACTAGAGCACTGGTTATAATTATATTTTATTTTGATCCCTTATTTTTGTTAAGAAAGGTTTATTTCTCAATGACGGAGTCATTTCCATGAAAGAAAACAATAATGTATTCTATTTAAATCCCCCCCCACCCCGTTTCTTTTGCACCTTTCCCCATTTTTCTCCCTCCAACAAAATAAAAACATCACGGATGACATCCTAATTTCAAGGAAATACATGAAAGCTCATTTCTGATGGAAGGCTATTGCAAGAAAAATACCCTACCTGCTTCTCATCACCGAGCATCCTTGCTCCTCTCCTCACCCAGAGGAAACAGGAGGCAGCTGATACCCCAGGGGCTTCACCACCTGTAAACCAGTGGGCACTGGCTCCCTGTTCCCGATTAATGTCCATGCCAGCACCAATTCACCCCAAGAGTAGGCGAGCCATGGAAAATGTTGTTTTTTTTTTTTTTTAAGGGCAATATGCAAAAGATGAGGGGAAAAGGACTATCTGCAAATCTTATAACACCCCTTCCCACCACCCCAAAGTGGAGAGAAATATTTTCAGTGCTATCAAATATTATTAGAAGGGCAGATATGCGAAGTAGCAGAGGGTTACTCTTTTTGTTGCCTTCCCGGCCTTAAACGGAGTCACTTGAGCTAAATCCTGTAGGTAAGGGACCCCAGAGTAGGCGTCTGAAGAGCCCAAGGGCCCAATTCAAAAAACCCTGCGTCAGCCCTGACTGGAGAGGGTTAACAGTAGAATTACTGATGGATGTTTAATTAGGATTTGAGAGATGAGGATTGTGCATTAGGCTTGGGTTTGTTCAGGGCTCATGTGTGCTCAAGCACAGAGGTAATTTCACATTGTACTTCGCGGTGTCCTTCGCGGCACTCAGCCAGCGCTCCTGACGGAGCCACGCTGGCAGCAGCTGGAGTAAAAGCTCCACCTGGAGACAGCAGGAGCCTGCTGGCTTCCCTGGCTGCTCACAGCAGAGGCTACCGGCGAGGATTTGCTGCAGGAGCAGGGGGCTCGGGAACGCTCAGCCCTGGAATTAGTGCTTCTCTTGCTCCCCTGCTACGGCCCAGACACTTCTCTTCCTTCCAGTGCTTAGAGCTGCTAATTCCCATCCCCACGGGAAGCCAGGCAGCACAGCGCGGGAACGTGAGTGATTGCAGGTCTGCAGCAGGGGCACAGAGGAGAGGAAAACCAAGGGGAAAAGGGAAACTTGAGCAAAAACACTGACCATGATGCCTCAGAGCTACCCAGCGGCTAAAGTTGAGGCTGGACCCCGCTCCTGGCATGCTGCAGCCCACTTGCTGCCAGCACGATGCTGTCTCCAAGCAGACGATCCCAATGTTCCCTGCAGCTGCAAGAGAGGACCTTTCTGGGAACATAAAATCAGATGTGATTGCTTTCCCTTTGGTTTGACGCTTGTTTTCCAACCCTTCTGCCTAATTTGCATCGTCTTAACTGACTGCTCTCCCAAGAAAGCTGCTAAGATCATTGGTAGAGGGGGATGATCAAGGAGGCAAGAAATAGCTCCTGGGAACCACTTACCCATTTTTGCATGGGTCATGTTTTGAAATTGACATCCCGAGGAGAAGTTGGCATCATGGCATAAGGTCTCTATGCCAGGACTGATGCATGAACCGGCATTTGGCCTCAAGCTTCTGAGTGCTGAAAAGCAGATGTAGCCTCTTCTTTCTGGCTAGTGACTTAAGCACAGGGGGCGTTCCCAATAACTGGAACTCCACTGTCCACATTGCCACCACAGCCCTTGGTATGGTTTTGGCTCAGACCAGCCAGCAGCATCCCAGAAAACTCCTGGATACAGCCTATGATTTAGCATGAAACAGGGGCCCCTTCCAGAGGGAAGGAGGGCATTGCTATAGTAGCAGCAGGACATTACAGGCTAAGCAGCCTCAATATCAAGAAACTTTTCTCAGGTGTATCTCATTCCTTGGCACAGGTGCAGGATTTTTCAATGAAAGTCTGCTGAGGATCACCCACTCAAGAGAAGGGCAGTCCTCTACAGGAGCAGGCTTTCTGCAGCTGGGTTGAGCCCCATAAAGGTGTAAGACCTGCCCCTTGGCTTGGATAAGGCCTTTCAAACTGGGAGAGAATAAAAAAAAAAGTACAGTTTGGTTTAGTAGTAGAACAGAGACTCAAAGACACGGAGGAAAAAAGTCCTCTAAGCTGTTACAAAGTGGGTGCTGCAGAGCCTGGGTGGCAAGAGCAGAGGTGACAAGAGAAATGTTCAGTTCTGGCTTGCATAGTCCTGTCTGGAAAGCAAAGCTCAGTGTCTCTAAATAGTCTAAAGCCAGACTAGTTTGTTATTAGTGGAAACCAAGCCCTTGCGTGTTATTAGTCAGCAGATGGTATATAAATGTGATGTCAGGAACCAATCTAGCACGACCCACGGCAAGACGGGGGATGATTAAACAGGGAAATGAAACAGAGCTGAGGAATGTCACCAAAGAGCCAGCACAGAGGGACGCGGAGCCCCAGGAACACGGGGGCTTCAGGCTGCACAAAAAAGCTTTGCCAAGGAAAAAAGCAAGAAGCGAGTCTGTAAACAGAGCTGACCACAGGGGATAAAGATGAAATAGAAGCAGACTTTTTTACTGTCTCAATCAGGAAGAAAAAAGTGACAAGAACTGACTGAGACGCTGAAAAGTGAGTGATATGCTATTGCCAAGAATAATGCTCAAAACACTGTAACAGCTGATAGAGGTACTGAGCGATGCGAACCCAGACAGAATAAGACTTCAGAGACATCTCTCGGTTAAAGAAAAAACAACCAACAAACTAACCAAAAGCCTTCAGCAACAGAAAAGGGAGCAGATGTTAGTGCCGAGAGCACTAGGCTCCACAGGCAACTTTGGAGACTGCCGGCAACGACTCCTGGTGAAAATGGCAGGTACAACTCTCCCCTGAAATACAAACACAGTGGAGGCTTTCCTTACACTAGCATGCCTACAGCAAGCCCTAACCTTTCTTTATTCTTAGCTAGGACAAAAGTTGTTCCTCAAGAACTAGCCCAGAAGGGCTAAGAAATCTCTCTCTCTTCCAGCCCCCTCACATTTGTGCAAGAGACAGAGTGTCTTCTCTACTTTCTCACTAATGTCCTTGTCATTTTGAGCAATGTTGTCCAGACTTGACCCAGCAGATTTTGGGTTTGTTGTAAAAAGAAACCTGTATCAGACTCCTTTCAGAGAGGTGACTTTCCATATCCAAGGAACTCGGGGCTCTTTCCTCATTCTTCATTTATCTGTCTGAGTTTGAGCCACCGCATTTCACTGCTTCATACAACCTAACAGTCGTGATGGGGACATCTTCTGGACAAGCCCCTTCAGGCAGATGGACAATAGGATGGGCCAGCTCTGTCCGACCTCTGTGATCATAGCTGCACCATGAAATGTGCCTATCAGTGCACAGAAGCACTTTTGGGAGAAGTGTGGCCATGCTGGCCCTGGCTAGCTAGCACTGCAGCACCCATACAGCTTGACAGCTTCCAGACACAGGCTGGCTCAGCTCTGTCTTGGGCATCTCTTCAGGATTCAGCCAGCGTCATGCAAGTGCCTCTGCAGTAGAAGGGCCCCTGATCTGCATCCAGCAACCCAGCACCATGCTCCACACAGACCCAGAAGGAGGCTCCTCTGCTGGCAGTGGGTGTATTTTTATTTATTCCTTTATGCATATATACATTGTCATGTATAATTAATGCTTCTGCAGTGCTTTTTTTTCGGATGTTGTATGGGATTTTTATTTTTTCCCATCTCATCTTTTTTTCCCTCTCTCTTTTTAGCATATGCCATTTGCTTTATTATTTTCTCTTCACCATCACCCGTCTTCTCTTTCTGTACAGTTTTGACCACTCTCCCACCTCTCTGCCATATAGGTCAATCCCCCTCTCTCTCTTTCCTTCCTCGTCTCCCTCCCTCCTTGCTCAGCGTAGGCCACCCCCTCCACCTCCCTCTCCGTCTCCTGTCAGCAACGCAGTTTATCGGCAGTTGCAGTCTCATCTATCAGTCCAATTCATCTTTCGCTGCAGCCTTTGGGGGAGAGCGAGAGGAAAAACCACAAGCTGCCTTCCTAAAGAAACCAGTGGCAGCCAGGGGCATTAATATGAGAAGCTTGGGAAGGTGTCGTTTTTCACTCAAGCTGACATTTAAGCTGTTTCATAAATATGAAATCAAACCAAGGGCCCAGATGGGCCTCCACCCCCTCCTCCTTTAACTAAGAGCGTCTGTGATACTCTCTTCACCAGCTTAAAGCAAGGGGATGACAGGAGCAAATCCTCTGGGGATGAAGGATGGAAGGAGTGACTGTTCTCGGTGATGGCACCTGGGATGTTTACACTCATCTCAGCACAGAGCCAACAACCCGTACAGGGGAGCCATCAGTCACTAGTGATAGTGGTAGTTTGTTCGAGATGGGATTTTGCTCCAAGTGCACAGGGCAACGGGGTGGATGTTCTCCCTCGTGCTCCTGCAGGAGAAGGTGTATCTTTTTTCCATCAGCAATTCTCTTAGCACCACGGCTCTGTTTCACATGCACATGGATCCTGATTTTGGGAGAGGAGGAGGTCTGAAACCACGTTCCTGGTTAGCTTTAGGAGTGTGGTCTGTTTATACCACCCCAGTCCCTATCCAGCCTGTGGTACCATCATGCTGTGTGATACCTAGAGCACAGCACGTCCCAGGGAATCATCAATTTCCAGAATAATTTACTGGACCAGCTAAGAGGGCTGTAACCTCACCTTCCTCTCCACTTCCACTAGGAACAATTCCTTTCATGGCTGGGCTGATGAAGAGGTGTCCTGGGCACCTGTTAATGACCACAGGTCCCAAGAGCATGGTATGGAGTGTCTCTGAGCATGCTTGCAGCGTTTGAATCTGTTTTGATCTCCCCACTCTGATGTCCCTACAAATCCATACTGTGTGCAGAGGCAAGGGGAGAGGGCCACAGCCTGAGCAAAGAAGATGTGGATATGGCACCTTTTTATATGCTGCTAGTTATTACTGGCAGTGATATAGCTCCTTGGGATCCAGACATTAACTACTACTGCCCTGAAATTGCTCGCCAGTGTATATTGAATGCAATAGTGGACAGTGACCTCCCGAGGCACTGAGCTCTGCTTCTTGGTCTCACAAAGAGGCATTTACATCCTCATCCCTCAGCATGGTGTGCTCACAATACCTTACACTGACCCTACTGTAACCCCTGAAAGGCTGCATCTGGACTGTTCCAATGGACAGAAACCATCTAATTCCCAGTACAAATTTGTCTGGCTGGTTTTGTGAGAACAGTGAACTTAAATTTAAGCAGCTTTTCACCCTCCCTCATGTTTGACCTAATTATATGTTTACAGAGAATAATGGTGTCCTCCCACTTTCTGTTTGACTAGAATGAACATGGCAGCCTTTTTTCCTCTAACACGATGGGCTCATCATTCCCCTGATTGTACCAGCTTCCCATGTTGGCATTTGCTCCAGTTTTAATTCTTCTCTCTTGAAAATGATTGACAAGAATGATACCAATTGTTCCAAGTGATGTCTCTATTTCTACCGTGCAGCAACCACAGTACTCCCTTGTTTGTATTGTATGTCCCTCCCCTGGCACATCTAAAGATCTCATTTACCTCTTGCATGTCCATTTCAGGTTGTGAGCTCATGTTTGTGCTGTGATTGACTGGAACAAGCAAGTCTTGTCTCCTGTTTTCTTGTTTCAAATTGATAAGCTTTCAGTGTGTAGGTGAAACTCTCACACACAGTGCCCAAATCTGTGGCCTTGCTTTTCATACTGCTATTCTCCCTCACGCTGACCCAATCCTCACAATACTCCATGTGACATTCTAGTGATTCTTGGCATCGATGATGCTGCCTGTTAAAGTTAACCCACTCCTAATTTTAGGCCAAAGTCATCACTGAAAACATGGATCCCATGATCAAAATTTAAGAAGTTACCTAGCCACCTCCTTCCAGCACTAGCCTTCTCCTCCCCCTCTTTCACCAGTTCCTCAGTCACCTCACAATTCTTGAACTAATGCTCATCTTCTCTCATTTAACTAATAATTTCCCAGGTGGCACCATACCAGATTTTAATGAAGCACAGATAGAGGAGATCTACTGCATTTCCCTTGTCTAGAACATCACTTACCTTATCAAAGACAGATATCAAGTTAGTCTGGCACAATCTCTTTTTGATAATGGTATGTTGCGCTATATCCCATTTTCTATTCCATGTCTTCAATTATTCTTTCTGACATAATTTGCTCTGAATCTATCTATGCCCTTGAGGCCAAAATAACAAGCCCACAGCTGCCTAGTTCACTCTCCCTCCCTTTTTTAAATTTGGGTACTACATTTCCTGTTACCCAGGCAGAGGAAGAATCCCAATGATTGGATAGATTTATGAAAAAACAAACAAACAAACATCTACCAGACCTGTGATTTCATGGGACAGCTGGGTATGGTGATTTCCCAGCCTCCCTGGTTTGAACACTATAAGCTTTCTGAATTGTTTCCATCTTGCATGCAATTTTTTGCCCTTTCAGTACATTTATTCCCATTAGTCCACCTGACTTTGCCCCACACTCTATACTACTGCTCTTAGGGGCAAAGTATTCCTCTACTTCAGAGCTGTGCAAACTTTTCTCTCTATATATAGAGGCTCCACCACTTCTTTTTTTATTTATAGTGCTAAGGATCCTTCTGCTGTTTCATTTCCTTTGCAGGGACTAACTCAGTTTGACTTCTGGCAATTCACACTTCATTCCTGCACTTCCTGACCTCCCAAGACATACCTTTCTTTGTTGCTTAATCCCCTTTCCAAGGCTGCCTTGATGTGCAGGTGGACTAGGCAGTTATCAAGAGCAGCAGG